AGAGGCTATCCTGAGGCCAGACAGAGCTGTCCCGCTGGAGAGAATTGACTTTGGTAGCAAAGTCACTCTCCTAAGGAAACTTATGAATCCTTGAATGGACTGATCTATGTATGAAGGGTGAGTCCGGTAGAGCCAATCACCTCCCAAAGTACCTCCAGATATGATCAACCTGTAATTCAGGGATTCAAGTTTCAACACAGGAATTCCAGCGGACACACATCTCACTATTAAGAGATAGGTCATGCTGTCATTTCAATGTTTGTTCGATGCTGTGATTTCCATCAATACCACTAAGACACCGGGTGTGGTGGTCCTCTCCTGTAATCCCAGCAGCTACGGATTTCACCTTTCTTCTTTAGGCTTCAAAGGTGGTAAAAAGGGTGTAGTACAGATAACAGTAATGAGAGTTTATGCGCACCAACTCCTTAAAGCTGTGGTAAACAGCAACCAGCTCCAAACAATAATATAAGCATTAATTCAATTTTATTACAGAGTTTTCTTTCGAGTGAGACTAATTCTACACAAATGTAAGTGTAGATTGATCATCAGGCATAGAAAGAATCCAAGAAAGTATTGGGTCCCCTGGAAGATTGCCTGAAGGTGCTTTACTTTCCCTTGGCACATGCTTATGTTTTGACTCCTTGTCAAATATCATTCTTTTTATAAATTTTAATTTTTTTAGGTGTTGATAGAACTTAATTTGTATTTATTTATAAGTGGTACAGAGAGTCTAAACAAGTGCCTCACATGTGCTAGACGAGCGCTTTACCCTAGAGCCACCATCCGGTTCCCCTCAAATATCATTCTTCAATTCGCTAAAGAGAAGGGCTTTGTTGCCCACACTTATACTCCCAGCAATATGAGAGGCTAATGAGTATGGCAAGCTAGAGGCCAGACACGGCAATGAGTGAGGCCCTAAGCAAGTTAGCAAGTCCCTGTGTAAGAATGAAAAGTAATCTTTGAGGTGGAGCAGTGGTGCTGGGTATGTTGCTCAGTGGTTCAGCATCCCTGTGTTCAATCATCCCTAAAAAAGTAAATAAATAAAACCCAAGAAATATAAAGAACCGAGGGTAAATTACTGTTGAAGGGGGTAAAAAACAGCTAATGATGATTCTGTAAGCCAGTTGATAAATTATTTATGGCCAAAAAATATACATAAAATACACAGATACAACACCATAGAGTCACTGTGTATTTCATGCCATGGGAAAAAGTTATGTTTTATGGGAAGAAAATGATGGAAATGGATGCAAAAGTCTAAGTATCACACCATCCTCGGATTGCTCACGAGAAGTTATTGCCACCAATCTAGTTCATAAGACACCAAACCCAAGGAATACTGGAGTCCCCGCTGGCCTGGGAGCATGGCCAGGTCACTGACCACCTGGGCTGGTGACTGGTTGGCCACAGAAGATCTCCTCCAGCTTGAGCAGCTTCCTCAGTTGTCTGCTTTCATCCCAGGGATTTTTCCTCTGATGGCTGTTTGCTGTTTGTGAGCTGCAGAGCCTGTAACACTGAGCCACACTCCAGTGGACCAGATCCTCTGGAAATGAAGTTCCAACAGGACAGGTGTCCTCAGGAAGGAGGAGTAGATTCAGGCTTCTGATGAAACCTGAAAGCAGTCCCGTGCTGGAGACCAAGGTAGGAAGGCTTCAAGTTGGAGGCCAGTCTGGCCAACATAGAAACTCCGGTCTCAAAATTAAGAAATGAGAAAGTTTTTTGAAGATCCTAATCCAAATCCCCAAATAAAAAGGCAACTTGGTATCCTAGCGGTGGCTCCACAGGTTGAGACAGGAGGATTTCCAGGTGAAAGCCAGCCTCAACAAGGGCAAGTTGAGGGACTAAGCAAATCAGTGAGAGCCTGTCTCTAAATAAATTACAAAATAGGGATGCGGATGTTGCTCAGTGCTTAAATGCCCCTGAATTCAATGCCTGGTACCAAAAAAAAAAAAAAAAAAAAGGCAGACTGGATAGTTTGTTCCTTCTCTGAGGGCAAAAGACAATGGAGCCAGGTTTCCTTAGCCTTTTTCTCTGGGCAGCATTTTTTCAGACAGGAAGGGCCGGAGAAGGACTCCCAGGATGAGTCCTGGTAGCCATGTCTGCAGCTCTACTTCCATCGTGCGGAAACAGTTTCAAGACACCCAGTGCCATTCATGCCTCCTTCCCAGGAGGCCTTGCTGTTGGGCAGATCGGGCAGGCAGGGAGTTGGAAGATCCTTGGACTGCCATCTGGGCCTCCTTGCCTTTTCCTAGGGCCCTGAGGGAGACCTGGGCACTGGAGTTCCCTCACCATAGAACCTGCAGAGCAGGGGGCCCAGAGCTGACTAGCAGCAGCCAGGAATTGCTCTCACAGGAAGTCGTGGGGCGGGGCCTAGTTGCTCAACTCTGGACTTCACCTGAGGGACACTCTGCAAAGGGTAATGCAGGCCCTTGTGGATACTCTTTCCTTGTTCAGGTCCCTTGGAGCAAGATATAGCAGAACTTTATGTGAAGTCACCATGCTGTTGTGCTCGGATCCCTTAGCCCTCAGGTGGAGCTCAAAGGA